AGAGAAGGAAAGAAAGAAAGAAAGAAAAAAAGGAAGAAAGGAAGAGAAAGAGAGAGAGAGAGAGAGAGAAATGAAAGTATTTGAAAAAAGAAAGAAAAAAAAAAAAGAAAAAAAGAAAGTTTCGTAGTTTCATCGAAGCATCTTCCTATTAGAGTTCGCCCATTAGAGTTCTAAACCATTGTTAAAAGTGAGAAAGGGATGAAAGTGAAAATGAAATTTCGCGGAGATATAATAATTATAGGAAATGAAAATGTAATAATAAAATTGTGATGTATCCGAAGGAAATACGAGGAGGAGAACTTTTTAAGTGGATGAACGAGTCCCCAAGCGTCATTTTGTAATTTTATCGACGAAACTCCGAGTTGCAGTTGCACGTGTAGTTGCACCATTCCTACGAATGCTCTATACAAATGTCCAAGATATGTCTCTCTTGACCGTTTGCATACATGCATATTATCGTTATGCAGGTAAAGAACATTGGTTGCATACTTATGCGAACATCTCGCTAAAACTTTTTCGAGGATTCTATCGTCGCGAATGATACGTGCCTCGAAGTGAAACGATTCCTTGTTGGAATTACCATGACCCTGAGAAACATATCGATATGATGACATCTGAGTTTCGCATTAGCTCGTGTTAAATGTTAAATATGTATTATTAAATATATGAATGAAACAGCAATATGTTTCTTTACCTTTCGTGTAATAATTTACAAGTCAAGATAAACGTGTTCGAACATAACTATGTATATTTTTAAAGATACACATATTACCATAGATAAAGATTAAAAGGATGTTGAGTGCATTTTGAAAGAAAAAAAAAAAAGAAAAAAAAAAGAAAAAAAAAAATAATTAATGGCGAATTTTAATTTAAATTTCACTGTTTCAAACATTTGTCACGTCACGATTTTGTCGTATCACGTACAAAAAAAAAATAAAAAATAAAAAAAAAATCGATCCTCAATATAACAGTAAGAAATTGTTATAGAGTTTTGTATCCGTCGGCAAGTATAGGAAAGAGTTCAAAGTGAAATAGGTAGCGCTCCCTTAAATTCGCACTTACGTCCATTAATATCGCATTTCGGGAATTACAGGAGCCCCGGTTCTCCTCGTATTGGAGCACAAATGCGAAGCGATAAAATGTATAGAGGATCTGCGATCGGTTGGGCACGTGATTCTCAACGATAGCAGATGCTTCCTACGTAAAAGGAAGGTACGAGATTCAGGAGCCCGGTTTAAGGTAGAAAAGATAAAAGTAAGGCGGCCTTTCGAGGAGGTGCAGGAAAGTGTAAACGTACGGTGACGTTTAGAATCGACCGGTCGTCCTGGGGATTTGACTGGTATGATGCTTTCGGCACGCGACAAAACGGGGTACGCGCTGCGCCGTATGACCATAAAATAAACGTTTGGGGTGGCGCAGGCGGAGGCCAAAGCTAGCAGCGCATAAACACTTATATAACGGCAATTAAACTGCTTTTAAGGCCCATAAAACTGCAGTTTCAATAATCTCTGTGACAACACGATTCTCTCTCTCTCTCTCTCTCTGTCTCTCTCTCTCACTCTCTATCTTTTTCTCTGTCTCTCTTTCTGACCTGCCTCTTCTTCCCTACATCTCTTCGTGTCTCTTCACGAACCCGTTCGCTACTTTTTGGTCACATCTCGTCTATCCTTTTCTCACCCTCCATCATCTTCTCGTTCTTTTAGATACTCAACGATTTTCTTTCGTAAGTTAGATCAAGCTCGTCCTTTCTCTCTTTCTCTTTCTCTCTCTCTCTCTCTCTCTTTCTCTTTCTCTCTTGAAAAGAAAAAAAAAAAAAAAAAAAAAAAGAAAAACGAAAATAAAAAGAAAAAAAAATAGGAAAAAGGTAGAATTCTTGCGAGGAATCGAGAAAGAAGGCGTCGACGGTCGAAACGATTGTAAAACTCGCTTTCATGAGTTCAGGATTGTCGTACTTTTTACCCCGAGAGGGTAGAACCCGGGGGTTGCTGGTCACGGGGTAGTAACGGATATCACGCGATAGTAACGGAACGCGTGTACGTACGTCTAGTTGGATTTCGGTGTGTACAGAGGAGGTTAGCGCGAGATAATGTATAATTTATAATCAGGCCGAAGCTGCGTCGTTCTACGAGCTGAATCCTCCGCCCCGAGAGCCGGCAACCCCTCATTAGCATTCGATGATGGCTGCCGCGTCCTGCAGCGTCGGTATTATCCCATTTCATCGTCCCTGCTTGTTCCTCCCCTACCTGGACCTCTTCTCCACCTTTCCCATTCTCCACCATCACCCCTTCTCTCTCTCTCTCTCTCTCTCTCTCTCTCTCTTTTCCTCCTCCATAGTCACTTTTAGCGCCGTCGCTTCGACTTCGTTTCTCCCTCTTTCTTTCTATTTCTTTCGCACGGTCTCTCTCTCTCTCTCTCTCTCTCTCTTTCCCTCTCTCTATCTTTTTCTCCCTCCCTCTCTCTCTCTCTCTCTCTCTCTCTCTCTTTCTTACTCTTTTTCTGCATCCAGGAGCCATCGAATATTCCCTCAAAAAGTATGACACCTATCGCAATTTCGTTCAAAGTACGCTTCGTGGGACGAATTCCAGATAGATGGACCATCTTTCTCGGTTCGTACGTGCGCAGAACGAAACTTTTTCTTGGTTATAACTTGCCATCAATGATACTCCAATTTCTCAGGGACCGGTTAGAAAATTGTTTCCTTATGATAGATCTATATGACCGATCGATAATTAAACGCTACAGGATATATATGAAATTTTCTAAATACATAATATATTGTATAGTTTTGTTAGATACATCTTCGTTAATATTTTTATTAATTATCATTTACATTTAGATTTAAATTTAATTGATAGGTAATTGAATGATTAATTATTATTATTAATTGGTCGACGGAAGGAGGAATGAATTGAAGCATTTTAAAAGTGGCAAACCTTAAAAATTCTCAAGAGTCTGTAATGTAATAATCGTTGTAATTCGATTACGTTCTTTCAACGACTATAAAGAAGTCAGATTGTAGAGTTTTCGCATTGCGGCCTCGTTGTAACGACTAACGAAGATCGGGTTCGCTCCATAAAAGTGTAAAGGATGATAGGTAATGATTTTATGAGCACGATCTACGCCCACTCCTCGTCACGCCGTCATCGTTTCCCTCTTCTTCTTTCTTTCCTCTCTTTAACAGTCTACTCGACCCTAAGCTTGGCTCGAGTAATATAAATGCATCGTTGAAAGCTAGTGAAACGGACTCATGAGATTTCCACTTTACAATTTTTTCACTCTTCTTTCATAAACGTTTTATGTAGATAGGTAACATCTAGAATAGATTTCTTTTCTCGAGAATAATAAATAATTTTCGATGAACCGGAACGATTTTTTTTTTTTTTTAATTTTCAACGAATCGCATGTGTGTATCTAATTTTATTAATTGTAATAAAAATTTATAACATCAACCATCTAATATATTACGATAATAATAGTTTACATTTCATTATTAAAGAAATAATGATAACCTAATCTTTGAGAAAGGAAAGAAATTGCGAATTCAACAGAGCGTATATATCCAACATATGTACATACGTACGTACACACGTATACATACATACATACATACATATATACATATATAGATACGTGCATATATAACTCGGTCGGTGTTAGCTTTGGTGATCTTGTAAATATTATCGAGCACGAGAGAAAAATATCGGCTAAGCCTTTCTCGTCCGACAGGAACGATAGGCTTGACCATGGCTTCAGAATCCGGGTGTACGAGGTCCGTTTGAAATTATTAACCGGCAAGCGTAAACAAACCGAGATAATAAAATAAAAAGTGTTTGAAGTTTTAATTTTATCTAATCGCTATTTACTACGCCATTGTACAGCCGTAAGTGGCTCTATAAAAGATAGGCGCCGGATTATTCGCCAGCAACATTATCACGGTGACGACAGGTGTAGTTGGCCGTATACATGTCCTTCTTGCATGCGCAAGTATCATAAATGAATAGGATACAACTTCGCGCGTGCGGCCGGTAGTACGACTCACGTGAACGTTCCCAAACCATGACCTTGCTCTTGACGCGCTCAAAAGATCCCACGTATATTACATAGTGGCTACGTAGGCGTACCTTTTCGTTTCTCGAAAGATTAGACGTTTCAAATCTAAGTCGCTAAATATTCAATCACTTATTATATCTTTCCTATCGTTGATCCTTTACTATTCGGATTAATAACAAAACAATACGTTATAAAGAATTTTACGAGAACGACACAATCGTAATATAATCGTACCATCGAGACAATTTATTTTTCTTTTTCTTTTTCTTTTTCTTCTTTTTTTCCTTTTTCTTTCTTTTTTTTTTTTTTTATTTTCTCTCTAACAATAATAAATACCTATTGTATCAATAACATTCATCGTAGAACTTTGCACTCGAAAAAGGGGAGAAAAAAGAATGGTTTGTAATCTAAGTTTCGAAAGAAACTATAAGGAGAGACGGGGGGAGGGAGGAGGATGGGGGGGGGGGAGGGGAAACCTCCCTGTGAATAGAAATCGGCGAAGAAAAATATGGTTACCATATGTAGCTGTATGAGGGCGTCCTACGCAAGGAAGAAACACGAATCCTTTTATACGCGACTCCTCGTAAGGTTTCCCCCCCTAATAACGATATCGTTTGAGAACCCTTTTGTCGCGTATTTCCGACGTATGTATATACATATACATATACACATACATATACATATACATATACATATATATATATGTGTATATGTGTATATATAGATATACGTATATGCACGTAAGGTAAGATATGTAAGTATTTACGTACTTAGATATATGTGTAGGAACGTAAGTACTATGTATTACTTTATTGAAACCCGGTAGCTTTTGCGAATATATTTTTAGCGGAATCTCCTCGGTCGTATAACGTACTACGTTATGATTCTAATTAACGAGAGAAATGCGGAATAAATATGAGCGATCTTACGATAAAAAGAGTTTTACTCACCGCATACGACTCTGTCAAAGGGGCTCATCCAATCTGCAAAACAAGAAAAATGTCATTATAGAGACGTACTCGAGGGTCATGAGCGTCCGCTGATTAAAAGACTCGACGTCCTTGTAAATTATATTACGATATTTTCATCGGGCGACAACGTTCCCAAGACAGTCTGCGAATGCATGACGTCTTCGAGTAAGAAAGAGAAAGAAAAAGAGAAAGAGAAACGAAGCTAAACCAAGTCAAGGTTTCTTTCTTTGTAAAAAAAAAAGAAAAAAAAAAGAAAAAAGAAGAGAGAGAGAGAGAGAGAAAGAGAGTGATTTTACGTTCGTCGAACTTTTTAGCGGATGCTCGCGTTTGCAAGATACGAACTTAAGTAGATATATACAACGTTGAGAGTTAAGAGACTTAAGCCGACAGAGAAACGCAAAGCGAAAGAGAAAGACGAATAAAGAGAAAGAGAAAGAGAGAGAGAGAGAGAGAGAGAGAGAGAGAGAGAGGGATGGAGAGAGGGGTGGAGAGAGGGAGGAAGGGAGGGAGGGAGAAGCGAGCAAGAAGGGGGTCCGACGTTTCATGCGTTTCGCCGCTCCAACAAGATGCAATTAGAAAGTTAGGAAACTCTTAGCAGTGAGACGCACAAAGCTCGCAATAATTTCAACCGGCGGGGAGGATTAAAGGAAGGATCGGCACCGCTAAAGCACATCTCTCGTAATCCTTTTTGTCTCCCGATTCAATTTAAGCCGCGCCGGATTACGCCCCCGGCGACGACATTTTTTTCCGCATCGTTCTTTCCCTTGTTGTTTCTATTTCTCGTTCTGCATTCTACTATCCGATGGAATTAATAATTCAACAAGTTTTTTTTTTTATTTTTTTTTTATTTATATCGTCGAATCATCATCGATCTTTAATGATCAATCGATCTAATTTAATCAGATTTTTTCGTAATGTTTTTATATAAGTATTTATATAAGTATTTGAATTGATAAGATTAACGTTTTATAATAGATAATGAGAAAATACTAATTATTGCCAATTGAAAAATTAAAATATATCGTTTAATTTAATCACGTGAATATTTAAATTAGAAAGACTATTGATCGCAAAATACTTAATGAATTTGAAATATATACCGCGTCTTTATTTTATTTATGTAAAACTATTAAAAAAAGGAATATTAATTTATTAACATTACATTGTCATCAAGGTGTCGTTATTTTATTATTACTAAGTCTATATTCTGCAATCTAATAACCATCAGTTTAGTCAACGATCATTAATCGTTTGTCACGAAATGAATGATTGAACGGATATATTTAATGATCGAAAAAAACGAAAGCTAAGAGGTTAGCATTAAATCGTTATATTATTATAAGACAGCAATAGGAAACAGGCTTAAATAATTTACATATCCGATGATTACGTCTTAATCGAGGCACCTACTTATGTTTAATGATATCCCGTTTTAATTGCTCGAAATTACGTTACGGAATTACCATTAGTCTTTTTACAAATACAAGTATGGAAATAATTCGATATACCTGAAGGATGCATAATTTTTGAATAATAAATAAAAAATTACAAATATTTGCGACTTCGTGAACCCGAAGTTGTATTTATCACGATTGAGAATCTATATTTATAAATTTAACGAATAGGCAAAAATATTTTTAATGAATATTTAACAAAATAATGCCATAACATTTGATCTTAGGATCGATCGAATTACATGAAAGAATATTTCAATAATTTCGTAGGTATGTCGGTGCAAATAAATTTTTTTCTGTAAAGTTCTCGAATACTTTTACTAAAAATGTTTATCGCTTTAAGAGAATGTTCGAAGAACGACGATAGATATAAAAAAAAAATAAGGAACGGAGTATTTCTTCGTTCGCGAATTCACTTAAATGCGCACGCTCGAATAACATTAGCAACGAGAGAAACACGACGATAAGACGACATCGATACTTTGTTTTGGGTTAATAAATTAACAAGGAAGAATCGTCGAAGGTAGTACATGGACAATGCATTATGTACGACACGAAAGAATTTCGCGTTAAACAATGGAAGTTATTACTTCGTCGTGAGGTGGAATTTACGATGTTTAATTGCGAAGAAACAAAGAGATAAAAGTGTAGCGAGACGAAGCCAGTTTTGAAATGTAAAACATCGTGAGGTTGGGTAATGATTGATATCATTGAATATTGATCGACGACTTTATAGATGTATGGGTACGTTTAAAAATGAATTTGGTAAGATTACAAAGAAGCGTGATAGAAAAAGATAGAAGTGAATGGTTTTGTATAATCGGTACTCACCTGTAATGGACATCCAAGGGTAGCGAGGAATGTCCGAAATACCAGGTTGACCAGTGGTAGGCTGCTGGCAGGAGGTAAGAGGATCGACGACGGCCGAGGCCGCGGCGGCCTGATGATAGAACTGTGCCGCCGCGGCCATAGATGCGGAAGCGGCCGATACGGCGGAGGAAGCCGAGGCGGAAGAGACGAGGCTA